TGTGATTAATCATGTATTGACGAAGACGCTTAGCAGCCCAAGCCAAAGCACAACAAGTTTTCTCAAGCATGGAGTAACGAGACTCACATTCTATGAATTTATTACTTAGATAGTAAATGTCATGTTCTTTTCTTCCAGTTTCATCTTGTTGACCCAACACACAGCCCATAGAATCTTCCAATACAGTTAGATACATGATCAAAGGTCTCCCTTCTACCTGAGGGGTCAAAATGGGAGGTTCAAGTAGGTACTCCTTGATACTATCAAATGCTTTCTGACAATCTTCAGTTCATATACAACCTTGGTCCTTTTTGAGAAGCTTGAATCGGTCCACAAGTAGCTGTCACATGTGATACTATCAAACCCTCTCACTTGTTTTTCTGTTCTTGGCACAAGCATCTCTTGAATAGCTCTAACTTTTTCGGGATCAACTTCAATATCTCTCTGACTGACAATGAATCCTAGCAACTTTCCTGAACGGACACATAAAGTACACTTATTAGTATTCAAGAGGAGTTAATACTTTCTCAGGCGTTAAAATAACTTCAACAGATGGTCCACATGGTCTTCTTCATCTTGTGATTCGGAAATCATGTCATCCACATAGACCTCGGTCTCTTTATGCATCATATCATGGAACAGAGTAGTCATAGCCCTTGGATATGTCGCACCATCATTTTTTAATCCAAAGGGCACCACTCTATAGAATAATGTTCCCTAAGGTGTAATGAAAGCAGTCTTCTCCATGTCTTCAGGCACCATCTTGATCTGGTTGTAGCCGGAGAAACCATCCATGAAGGAAAAGACATTGAACTTTGCAGTATTATCAACCAACATGTCAATGTATGGTAATGAGAAATCATCTTTTGGGTTGACTTTGTTCAAATCTTGGTAATCGACACACATTCTGAGTTTACCATCTTTATTAGGAACAAGAACTATGTTGGCCAACCAAGGAGGATACTCAGAAGTAACAAGAAAACTTGCATCAATATGTTTTTGGACTTCCTCTTTAATTTTCTTAGCCATATCAGGATGAGTTCTTCTAAGCTTATGCTCCACCGACGGACATTCTGGCTTTAATGGCAGATGGTGCTCCACAATATTGGTGTCTAACCCTGGAATATCTCGATAGGACCAAGAAAATACATCAACAAACTCTTTGAGAAGCTCTATTATACTTTGTTTAACATTTGGGTCAAGCATTTCCCCAACTTTGACTTCTTTCCTTTCTTCCTCAGTGCCAAGATTTATTGTCTCTACTGGTTCTTCATGAGGTTAAATGGCTTTTTCTTCTTTCTCTAACAGTCGAAAATTTCCTCAGGTATTTCTTCTATTTCTTCCTCTTCAGCTTCGAACACAGGGAACTCAAAGTTGGGAGAGGGCATAAGATCATTTTTTTCAACGGGTTCATGATTTAAGCTGCACATATGATTTATGTTTGATTTTAGAAACAGGTAAAAGAGTGAAAAAGAGTGAAAAAGAGTTTATGCAGATTTTTGAAAGTGATTGATTTTTTCCAGGTTTTTTAGGATTACTATATTTTCAGAAAAATGAAAAGTAAAAACAATAGTATAGGAGACAACATGACTTTTATTAATGGTGATAAACTTGAAACAAAAGCCTGATACACGATCTTTTCCACCTTAGGCATAGTGGAGAGAGTTATTTTTTAATAAAGCCCCACAACTACTCTTTCGCCTTAGGCAGAGTGAAAGGTTTTGAAAACAACAATAAGAGAATTACTCATAAATGTGTACGACAGAGGGAACATCAACGACGATCCAGTTCTGACTAATCCTTCCACGTGTCACGAAGTTTGGCAAATCTTCTTCAGGGTCATCTTCAAGAATAGTGTTAGCCTCGGGCGCTGTTGGGAAAATAAAGCCCGTACTATAAAACGTCTCTTGGATAAGACAGATGACAATGTCTATTTTATCAACTTTGGCAGCTCTGGGAGAAAAACCCACACCCTCACCAAACTTTTTTTAGGTAAGTCGAACATAACACCCCAACTGATATTTACACCATACCACCCGTTGTGCATCTTTGTATGAAGCAATGGATGTCTCATTCTTCTTAGTACTCTTATCTATAGAAAGCACCTGAAACTGAGTACCAAACTCTTCACTAGTGTCAATGTAGAAGAAAGATGAGAGATGACTCACTATAAAAGCTCGCTCTCCGCCTACCATAACCAACTTTCCATTTTTTACAAACTTCAACTTTTGGTGGAGCATTGGAGTGACAACTCTTGCCTCATGAATCCATGGTCGTCTCAACAAACAGCTGTAGGCAGCCTATTGTCCATTACCTAGAATCTTATCTGAAAAGAGTGGGGACCAATCTTCATTGGTAAGTCTACTTCACCAATCACTGTCTTCCTTGAACCATCAAATGCTTTTACAACAACCCCGCTACTTTTCATGGGAGTGCCCTGATATGAGAGCTTAGATAGTGTAGATTCAGGCATGACATTTAGCGAAGAACCGCTATCTATCAACACATTGGATAGACTATCTGAAAGGCAATTCATAGAGATATGTAACACAAAATTGTGATTCCTTCCTTCCTCGGGGAGGTCTTCGTCACTAAAGCTGAGGTTGTTACATGCGGTGATATTTCCCACTATCCCGTTGAACTGGTCAATTGTTATATCACTGTCAATGAATACTTGGTCCAACACTTTCATTAACGCTTCTCGGTGGGTGTCAGAATTCATTAACAAAGAGAGTATGAAGATCTTGGAAGGTGTTTGCAACAACTGACCTATCACCTTGTATTCACTCTTTTTATTCAATTTTAAAACTTCGTCAGTATCATCATTCAAACTGGTCTTACTGGAATGTCCTTTCTCTATTCCAGGATTAGGAATTTCAATAGGAACTTCAATTGGAAGACTCATATCTTTCCTCTGAGGTATAGTGGAGAACACATGACCGCTGTAGGTCAAACCACTAACATCAACTATGTTTGTTGCATCCTAAAATTTGCCCTCCTAATTTATTGTTATCTGGATTAGGCTTAGCATTACATCTGCATACATACCATTAGGTCACTAACATAGCATACATTTTCATTCAATAAAGTGCATGAGGTTCAAATGATCAACTGGTTTGTGTAAGTTAGGGTTTTCAATAACTGAGGTGCACATATCCAAAAATGCTTTATTCTTCTGGTTCTTCTTGAAGCATGGGTCGTAGAATTAGGGTTTCAACCCCTGGTGCTTAAACTTGGCATTATTTCAACTAAAGATTATGAGAAATAGGGTTTGGAATTCATGGTTATCCTGAGTATATCTCAAGTTGATCTCCATCCAAAGGGTTTCATTACTACACTACTCAGGTCATTTCCTTTGTGATCTTTGGTCATCAAGAGTTGTGAAATCCTAGGAGTTGGTACAAAATAAGAAGCAAGAAATTATTTGTGACCGGGGCATGTTCATTATTTGTGGCTTGTCATGCAAGATGCTTTCGAGGCTTGAGATAAGGTTTTCATCGAATTAAGGTTTAATTCACGTGATGATTTAAGTTCAAATTGTACAAATTTGTCAAAGTTGGATTAAGGAGTGGTTGGAAGTTTTAAGTGGTTTTCTTTACTTTCAAATAATAAAGGCATTGGTATCATTCATTCATTTTAAGCCCCAATGATTTGAGGTATATTCAAATGGAATCCATGTTCTTAATGCACAAAATTTGGAGAAGGTCCATAAAAGTGGATTATGTGGAAAGTATGATACAAATTACAAGACCTTGTCTCGAAGTTCATATCATCATCATCCAAAGTGTTTCAAAACAAAAGAAAGAGATATACTTTTTAGACAAAAGGATGTGTGGAATATAAAGTTTTATCATTGATAACAAAAGCAAGTTACAAACATACATGTTCAACATTATTCAAGCTTCATCAAATCCTTTCAACTTAATTCAAATTTTATTCATACAAATCACAAGTTTAATTACATTACATCAGAAAAAACTACAAAATTCAATCCTTGAAAACCTATCCTAATGCCTTCCTCGCAAGCTTTAAATCATGTAAAACATCTTAGGAAAAATTTCCAAAAGATTCTAGGTTAAGCCATGTCTAACACCATTGCTTGCCATGCCCATTATAACTGCATCAATGCTATGCCTCACATCATACAAAACCTGAATTTACCACAAACTATACACTTCAGACCATCATACCTTCACAAACCAAAGCCATGCTTCTTCAGTTCGGAAATGAGAGGGAAGTTAGGAGAAAATACAAAAATTGAATAAACCATAAAATATCAGAAAATAATAACACCTCAGCAAAAATCAGAAAAAGCCATAAGATTGAGTTCTAAACCGTGCTCTGCAAGATTGAATGTGACAACTCAAAATAAAACTCAAAGAAAGATAAAACCCATGATTCAATCTTAGCCTCTCATTCATTTGTAACTAACTATCCGATTCAATGGCCCATATTTGATTTTTCCTAACAAACTTTCAGATCTAACAGAAACTATGTAAATCAATTACTCACCAGATTCAAGATCATTATTCAAACTCCCAGAAGAATTACACCAAAACTACCTCATCTCTCTTCTTCTACCCTCTGAATTATTTGAGTTCCCTCTTCAATCATCAACGACTCCTAATCTTCATCTTCTTCAAACTCTATCAATGCCAACACTATGTATCTCTTCTGCAAATCTTAGTCTTCTCTAAACATCTTCAACATCTTTCACCTCCAATCTCCATCATCACAACATCTTCTGCATCATCATCATCATTAACGTTCATTCTGCATCAACAACAAACAACATCACAAGAATACAAGAACCACAACAACAACACACGTTCTTCTGCAAATCGTTATAGCATCATAATTCACGACAAATGCAGAGTAATAAATCTGAGAACAGGTAGAAGAGGAATGAACCAGAGATCGTTAATGCTTACTGTAGTTTCTCATCGCCGACGTTGTTGAAATGCCATCAAAGCATCTCTAATCGGTAACCTTCAAAACTCTTAACTCTTTTCATTCTTGCTATCACAATGTAGAATCTGTGAATCTGTTGGTTTGAGGACGATTTGAAACGAAAGCAAGGCGCAATGAGATATCAACGCGAGATGAACATGAGCACAGCGATATGAGTCGATAATAAGGAAGGTTATTTGAAGCAACATTTGAGTGAGACAGCAGCGAAGTGAGATGCAGAAATGGTGGCGCAAGGTTGCTTCATTGGAGAAGAGAGCGAGAATAGCGGGTGACACAATTTGCATTCGAAGTGAGATTGGGATTAAGGTTTAAACGGAAGGATGTGAGATTGGGACGGAGGTTTGAACGGGAGGATGACAAAGACAATTTGAATCAGAAGAGAGAGTGTCCGTACGGCGCCGTCGAAGAGAGAGGGAGAAATATCTTTGTTGTTCAAAATAAGATGAAGAGAAAATGCAATTGTGTTTGACTGAAGCTCTTGTTTCATTAGGCCTTCATTACTATTCATACTTCCTTTGAGCCCATACTGCCCTTTTTTTTTTTTGAGCTTGGAGCCTTATCACAAAATTTGGTTGGACTTCATTATTGATAGGCCTAGCGTCCCAATGTTGGTCACACACCCTGATTTCAATATTATACCCCCTGACTTCATCTCTCGTTTAGTGTCTAATTTAAAATTTTTTCTCCTATTAATTATTGATTAATTGGTGATAGAATGATACAAAATAGTAGAATATTTTAGAACTATTTAGAATTTCTTTTTAGAATTCTAATTAGAGTTTTCTACTATTTTATTTTTTATGTTTAGTAATCATTTTTATTGTCATTTTTAGTCAAGATTTTTGTGATAGTATTGATGTAACTTTTGGGATGTGGAATGCTTGGAGATTAACTCGTTTGATCACTTGTGTGAAGCAACTTTTGTAGAGTTTTCTATTTGCTTGTGTGGATTTGAAAAGGAAATGGACCTTCTCCGTTAGGTATCATCGGGAATTCATTTTATTCCTCATTCCCGCATCGTTTTCAATTTCTTTTCCATGAGAAGTAGGATAGAAATACATGTCTGGGAGTCCCTACTTTAGGTGGGCAATTATGTTTAAAGTCCTTAAAGGAGGAAATTTTTGTGTTTGTTTAAAGACCTCTATGAAGGCAATATTTATGTTTGTTTGTTTTCAAAAGACCTCGACGAAGGCAAATCCCACTCCCCTCCCATATCCCTTTTACTTTGTGCTTGCTACCGAGTCAATAAGTGGAGTAAGGGCTCGCAACCGGTCCCCACACTTTCTAGTCCATGTCGTTCTTAGCTCACATTATATGTTGATGCTTCAAACCACGCTTATTCTTGTTCATTGAGTCAAATAAAATGGAAAAGGGTTCATAACCAATTCCCACACTTTGTCATTCGTTTCGAGGATGTTAGCTCACGTTTCTTTAAACGTCGATGTTTCGAGTTATTAGTCGATATCAGTGCTTGAGAAAATCAAGTGGAAAGAGTTCCTTACTCCCATTATGAAATCCATTGGATTAATTGTTTGTTGCTAGCTCTCACTTTATTTTTGTTTTGGTTTTGGTTCGACTTTGTTCAATTGCCCTTGTGTTTGTTTGCACTTTATTCGACTTTGTTCAATTGCACTTATGTTTGTGCTTTTTCTCTATACCTTTGGCATGCTCCCTTAGGATTTCTTGTTTCATTTTTTATTCAAGTTGGACATTAGGTTGTAATATATGCATGCTAACTTAGGTAGATATTTCCCTTTGTTATCCAAACCTTAGGACCACCATTGCATGACAACTTTAGGATTACTAGTCTCCCTTAGACTTTTTCATTCCCCTTTTGAATAATTAAAACAATGACTTCTTTCTCTAAAAAATTCAAAACATTTAATAAAGGAATATGTGAATCGTATGAAGTTGAGTCTTGTGGGGTTGAGCGAATCGGTTTAGACCAAATCTTGCTCTATTTTTCACTTCCGGACTTTATTACGATTCAAATAACAAACTTTTTTCAAATAAGCGGAGAAGTAGTGAGTGCTCCATCCCGTGGGATCCATTCGTTATTATCCCACCAAAAACACCAATAAATTTAAATCTTTTTTGTCTTCGGACCGGCTTTGGACTTTTCTTTTGAAAACCTTTTCAAGTAAGAACATGTTAATTAATTTCTACTGCAAAGCATGAGCCTCTAAAGGTCGAGCTGCGGTAGAATGCAAAATTAGCATTGTTCATAAAAAAAATACAACAAACCAAAACTTTTAAGGTGAACTACGAGTGCCTTGATCCTTATTGCACGAGATGTGGTATGTAGGTACAAAGGTTTGTAATCTAGGAAAGAACGACTAATATAACCTTTTTCTTTGCATATATGCATTTTCCCCTTAGCTCGTAAGCTTTAGATAGAAGACACAATTTGATTATAACAATAAGAGTGGATCCTGTGGAGTACCACAGACGTGAGGGGTGCTAATACCTTCTCCTTGCGTAATTAACTCCCTTACCCGATCTCTCAGTCGTAAGATCGTGATTTCTCCCTGCTTAGGTTTTTCTTCGATGATTTTCCTTTCCATTCTTGTAGGATAAATAAATACTCGATAGCGACTTCATTGATTTTCTCTCGATGATTTTCCTCTGGTTGTTTCAATGTTAACATCAGAAGAAGGGGGGGGGGGGGGGGGGAATGGGAACCTCTTTCCCTTTTTCAATCATGGTAGCATTGTATTTGTATGACACACCTTTATCAGAGTCATAAGGAGTCGGTCTAGGAAGGTATACGACCAAGGGAGAAATGGGAGCTTTTTTATTGCTATATGTTATTTCCAAAGTCTCGAGTATGTTAAAATGAGGGACTATGACATTCACTTCGACGTCCACATATTTTACTTTGTAAATAATGACCTTTATAATTGTATCAAGAGAATCCCTAATTGAATGTGTAGGTTTAGGTGATTCCTCCTCGTTTCTTCTTCTCTCAGCAAGAATGGCTATCGCACCCTCTTTAAACAAGCACGTGCATTTCATTATATGGAGATCTCCCCTCAAAGCAGCGCAACCCCATGGTTTCTTTTCACATTCTAGGCACCAATCATGACTAAAATCAATCAAACTTCTTCAAACCCAATGTTAGTGTATCTCTACGGAAGTCACTATGCTGAGATCTTCAATTGTAGGTTCTCTAGCATATCTAGCATACGCCTTAGCGGTAACTAATGCTTCTTGATCAACAACTATAAATTCATAAGAACAGTCTTCAATCAAATTCACTTCATTATCATCTCTATTGTAAGTGATGGTGATCTTTCTCTCATCCATCAACCTCTGAATGTTTCTTCTTACAACAAGGCATCCACACAGGTTTCTAGAGCAGACTCCATATGAAACACGACTGTTTCTAACAAGAGAAAGCATGTATAAATTGGCATGCATCTGAACCAATGATTCCCTAACATACCAGATGTCAAAAATTTAATACTTTCAAGGGAAACCGTCCACCATATTCACTTCATTATCATTTCAGTATCTAGTGACTGTTATGAGACCCTGATCTAGCACTCATTGAAGGCTTCTCTTCACAATATAACATCCATGGGAGTCTCTACAATAGACCCGAAAAGAACCATAGTTGTGTCGATCTTGACCATTCATACTACAAAGGGTAGCATGTATATGCACCAGGTCTCCCCTCAACAGATAGGAATAAAAAATATGGTATTCGCCAGGACACCCATCCACCTTATTCACACCATGATCTCCATGATTAGTTAGTAGATTAGCTTGTACATTAGGACCAACGTCTCTAAATGATAAGAGACCACTTCTGACCAATTTCTAGACTTCAATATTCAATGGGAAACAATTTTCAATACTATGACCTGAAGCTCCTTGGTGAAAAGCACAATGAGCATCTGCCTTATACCAGTATGGGATTGTAAGAACAAAAAGTGTTTCTACATTTGGCCTTAAGATTTTTATGATAACTTTACATGTTATCTTAGTGAACAATTGTATACACTAATGGTTTGGTTCTAGTGTGTAGCTCCTGCTATAATGTTCTGACTCTCGTATGAAGGAAAGTGACATCATCAGGTTCTGAATATACACTAGTGGAAGAAAACACGTGGTTACGTGTTACAGTCAAAGTCAAGATTTCAGAATCCATCTTCTGCAATGTGTCTAAGGAATGTTAGTACAAGAGGTTCTGATCGTGACTTTATGGTTAAGTTTTGGAGGCCTTCTAGATCTTTTCTTCTATGTGTTACAAGTTTTGAAGATTATGAAGACGAGGTTCATCTGAATAAGTTCTAATGATCTGAAGAAAAGAAAGTTCTTACAACCAAGTGCTGAAGACTCTAAAGACAAGGTTCTGATAGGACGTGTTCTGAAGACTCCAAGACATAGGTTCTAAGACTTAAGAGTGAATCTTCTACAACAAGCTTCAACGTTTAATATTCAAATATCTGAAGCCTCTAATGATAAGAAGAAGTTAAAAATGGTTAATGTGTGATGTTGTACATAAGGTACATAAATTGTCTGTGACCTCTACCCTCTAGGGTGGCATAAGGACAATCCTTTCATACTGTTTTGTCAACCACTCTCATTGTGATTATTGGGAACAAACAGCTGGATTTCCAAATATCTTTCTTTACTCACCAAATCTCTATTTACATGCTTATTATAAAAACCTTATTCAGAGGAAAGGTGGAAAGCTATCATTGAACAGTGACAAAATACAAAAACTATTATTTTATACTTCCTAACTCTTACACCTTATTCTATCCATTAGAACTAACCGTTGGGGCAGGAAAATACTTTTCTATCCTGACAAAGTCTCTCTCTGAAGGCTATAAAAGAAGATCAAAGATTAAAAGCCAAGTTTCGTTGGCCATCAACCTTAAATGATGTGGATGCTGAAGATGTAAAAGCTGCAATGCTAAACATTATGAAGACCACTATACAAAAGATAGAAAAAGAAAGAAAGAATATTTTAACAAGATTTTATTCAACTATCCTCATATACATCTTCGATGAAACAGAAGAAGCAAGGAGTTGTTGCTTAGAAATTGCTCAACAAGAAGATGAATAAGAACACTACAAGATGCTACTCAACTTCTGATCATATACATCTTTGTAGAACATTGTAATGAACACAAGAGTTGTTGCTCGTATTGTGTTTCAGTTTGGAGCTCTTCATGTAAATTGTTTTAACACTAAAGTTGTTGCTCAAAAATGTGTTAAACAATATGTGCTTAAATGTTTTGTGCAATCTGATTATAAGAAGCATTAATGTAAA